GTCCGGATTGCCGCGGATAATCGCCGTCGTGGTAGATCTCAGTGGAAAATCGTGGCGATAAGAGCAACGGCCGATCTGCCTGGAATACGCGCACGGCGGAAGTTTAGAAAGTTGTAGCGAGTCGTGCGCACACGACCGACTTGTTGGTTGGTTGGCTGACTGGCTGGCTGGCTGGCTACCCAACGCGATCCTGTACGCTCGGAACCGGTTTCGAGCTTTTCGCCGGAGGGACCCCGTGACTCGAACGTAACGACGCGTGGTCGAGAACGATAAGCCGGTGGTCACGGCGCGGCGGCTCCGCGTGCGCGTGAGCGAGCGACGCAAGAAAACTTCATAAACCATCGAGGGATCTCGGCTGCGCCCGGCGTACATGGCCGTATTCGTTAACGGGGTATCTTCATTCATTAAAATCGTGCGTATTGTAATGAGCGTTACCGCGACCCAACAGACATACGCGCCGTTACACATTTATCGGCGTCTCGTCGATAAGGATAATCTTCTAACTGACGGTACACTGAGGGTGTCGCGGAATATCGCACCGCATAAAACCAATGTCGCGTCCGCGCACCGGAAGCGGCCATTTTTACCGCCGCACGGTGCCGCCCTGTTCCCCCCCGGAGGCTCGCGACTCCTTTTATTTATATTTTGCTGCTCCCCATAATAAGATTTATCTTATTCTTCGCACTCTCAAGGTATATCGTCCTTCGAGCAAATTTCAAACGAACAATCGTTAGAATTCATGTTCGATAATGTTTCTCCATTTCTTGCCTCATTTATGTTGTTACACTGAGAGAAAAGTATATGATATTTGGAACTATAATGATATAGTAATTAAATTATAATCCGAAATATCATATTTATGGTAAGTATTACCATATTATCGGTAATAATTATGATATAGGCATAGTATAACCAACCATATAATATTTTTACTAAGAATTATAGTATTGTAAGTTAAACTAAAATTATTGTATGCATACAAATATAAAATGCTAGGTAAAGTAACTCTTTTATATCTTTTTATAGTGAATATTACCAAAATTTATGCTAAATGATGACAGATAGATGTAACTATATGAATATTAAATCTCACTATATTTGTGAATGAGAAATTAGCATATATATGGTGAAAGTAACTAAGCAATTATTTCAGACAATCATTGACTATATATTTGTGTTTATTCTACTATATTTTGCAGGTTCCGCGAACTACAAAAATATGGTTGACGCCAAAATGAACTGTAAAATATAGTGAGATTATAGTTAATTCAACTATATTTTTCTATCAGTGTAATGACCTTAACATTCGGCAGTTACCTAACAACTGAATTCATTTGAAAAAGCAGAAATTGCGGGCCAACGAATATATAGAGATTACGAACGAGCATGAAAACAAACTTCCTCGGGAAAAACCTCTTGCAAATCCGTTTTTACCGTATACACACTGTATATGTACGCTCGCATCGCTCAGCAAAAGCGCAGAGTACAACGTGACACCTGGGTCGCGCGCGACTTTTGTCCGGTAAATTGCTCTCGTTGGAACGACGATCTAAATTGACAAGCACATTGACAAAACAAGAGGGAGGGCGAGAAGAAAGAGCGGAGAGACCAAAAGCTACACTCAAAAAGAGAGACGCGTGCGCGGGCGCACGCGCAATGCGTGGATATTCGCCGAGCTCTCATCCGTTCTGTCGTGTAATTATTTCTTTATTTACTTGTACTTAATCTCACATCACTAATCCGATTAAATCCGTCAGACGACGGCACCTCGCCTCGGTTTTTGAAGGCAACTTTGCCGAAACATACGAGAGTTATGATAGGAGAAATTTTGAACAAATAAGTACTCTCACAATTGCTATCTACATCGCAGCCAGATCCAGGAAAATTTGTGCATTTTGCCCATCAAAGTGGCGTAGGATGATCAAATACTTCTTCTGTAAACTCTGCAATAAGGCTATTTGTAACGAGTATACAGTTTCAGTTTGCAGTGACTGTACTGATTGGATGTGATATTTGGTTTTATTTTAACCCTTTACATTCGGAATGCCAGCACTGCTGGCATGGACGTTTATTCCTGCAACTCGGAGCGCCAGCTGTACTGGCATGAAAAAGATTTAAAGGCAAAGAGCAATAAAACAGTAAAATGCGGCGACAATATTACAGGAAGTAAAGATCCTTTTCTTCTGCAGCAGTTTCTGATATTTTCTGATAATTTAGAAATTATATTTGTAATTATCGAGAATTGATGAAAGGAAATGTGGAAATATTCCTCGAGTGCAAAGAGTTAAGATATCTTCTTAATATCATCCCTCATAATATACATGTACCATGATCCAAATCATTGATAAGCCACATAACGGGCATCAGAAATCTTATAGTTATGCCTGGTACATTGGGTTACACTGTGTGTTAATGTTGCTAAATGTCATAAGTTTGAAGCATTATTTACACGGCATACAATGGATTTCTGCGCAAGTGTGCGTCTAAGCGATTTAGAAGCGAAAAACTACAGCCAAAATACAAGCGCCGAGCACAGCGGCTCGCGTGTGTTTACGCGTTGGGTGAGCGAACTTTATGCATGTTATGACACGAATCCTAGCAGAATAAAACAGAAATTGGAGAAAACGTTTTTGAAACAGAAATACAATTACAGTTAAAACCGTTTCTATTAATTGTTTCTTCTTATTCATAATTTTCTCCTTTCCCTGTCTTATCTATTTTTGCATGTAGTTTTCATTTCCATAAGTCTTGTGAAATATATCAGTCATATGTAACAATGCTATATATCATCGGTATTAACAACAAGATCAAATAGTACATCACTCTCCTCCGTAATTAATTCGTAATTAATATATCCCCTTCCCTGCCTCAATCATTCCAAATTTGGCCAATGAGCACGGGAAAATATTGTTTTCCGTATGTAATGTATGTGCGCAAAAATGTTTCATTTCCGCAAGTCTTGTGAAATATACACTGAGAGAAAAGTATGTGATATTTGGAACTATAATGATATAGTAACTAAATTACAGTCCGAAATATCATATTTGTAGTAAGTATTACCACAATATCGGTAATAATTACGATATAGGCATAGTATAACCAACCATATAATATTTTTACTAAGCATTATAGTATTGTAAGTTAAACTAAAATTATTGTATGCATACAAATACAAAATGCTAGGTAAAGTAACTCTTTTATATCTTTTTATAGTCAATATTACCAAAATATTTGCTAAATGATGACAGATGTAGCTAAATGAATATTAAATCTCACTATATCTGTAAATGAGAAATTACCATATATGTGGTAAAAGTAACTAAACAATTATTTCAGACAATCATTGACTATATATTTGTGTTTATTCTACTATATTTTGCAGGTTCCACGAACTATAAAAATATGGTTGACGCCAAAATGTACTATAAAATATAGTGAGATTACAGTTAATTCAACTATACTTTTCTATCAGTGTATCAGTCATATATAACAATACTATGTATCATCGGTATTAATAACAAGATCAAATAGTACATCACTTTCCCCCGTAATTAATCCGTAATTAATATATCCCCTTCCCTGCCTCAGTCATTCCAAATTTGGACAATGAGCACAGGAAATGAATTTAGATCGATAGCTGAATAGATTTGAAATAGCGGTTTTTGCCCACAAAACGCGCCCCGCTCAGTGTCGGGTCGTGCGTCGAGAAGCGCAGCGCAGCGCCGCGCCGCCTCGCGTCGTCCCCCAGCATTCTTAATTGCAGGAGACAACGGCCTCTCATGTTCGAAACCTTTAGCAAACTCCACCGGACGAACGCTATCACAGGCCTGTTGCTTTCACACAGCGCTGAAACGCCGCGCCGTTACACCTTCCGCATTTAGAGCGAAATAGGTGTGTACTCGGGACTCGGGATTAAGTGGAGAGCAAAAAGAAAGAAGCGCGCGGGGGGCAAGGGAGGCGGGGTGGGGGATTGTAGGAGAGCGCGGAAGAGAGAGCGCGTGCGGCTTTTGAAAGGCGCGGAAGACCTATTACCTGAAATCTAACGGTCGCAAAGAATCCGAGAGCCACGCAGCTTCAGCGTTAGAAGTCTGAACTTCTCTCCTGCCCTCCCCCCCCCCTCTCTCACTCTCTCTCTTTTCAACGCTTGACGCTCTATCCGCTCGGAGTCCACACCCGTGTTTGTGCAAAACGCAAGACGCATCGCGCTCGTGCGCGGGACGTAACACTTTCTTTTCAATTTTATAGCAGCTACTTTTTCAGCCGTTATTCATTCGGGCCGCCCTTAATGTTTCGAGAAAATTTCGTGTTTTTCGGAAAAAGCGGAAGAGAGAGAGAGAGAGGGGGCATTCTGCCCGACGACCACGCCGCGGCGTCGTCGTCGGGTGTGTTGATATACGCTGAACGACGCTCCAGCGTCCGCGACCTCAATGTCGATGACAAATCCCCCGACGAAGATCGAACACGCGTGTAAACAGCAGGTTGGAATAAAAGCCGCGATTCTCTCGATGCGGTGACGCCGCGTGTGTGCCCTAACCTTTCCGCGCTATTGCTTCCACCGGGCTGGTCGCCGGCGCGACGCTTCGTTTCGATTCATTCGATCCTTGCCCATAAGTCCTCGTTTTGTCTTCCCCTTCGGCCGTTCTAACGGATGTTTACACTGAGCGGAGAACGAACGTGACACGTATCACTCGCGTGTCACCGCGTACAACAACCGTGATCTCTCGCGATGTTATTGTTTTTTCTCAAGGGCATTGACGCGGTGTTGAGAGTTCCGCGCGAAGAAATTCGTACAAAATTTTCCACCTCAAGACTGCGCGAACGCGCGCATTTTACACGACACATGTCGCGTCTGAAAAATGCATGGAAACCGGCAATTACAATACAAAAGGAGAAGCTCGCTTCTCCGCGATACGCAGCGCTCGGTTTCGGACGCGGCTCCAAGTCGAAAGTTAACCTCGAAAGTCGCGCGAAAAGAACGAAATAATGAAGAATGGACTCACCGGAGCAGAGTCGATCGTCGTCGGGAGTCGGGAATCGTCAGCTCACGTCGAATATCCCTCGTTGTCACACGATCATCCGTCCCATAGAGAAGTCTCCGAACAATAGGAAGAAACGTTTCCTCACGCACACACTATGTCTTTCGATCTCTCTCTTAGAGCGAGGCTTCGCGCACAGTGTACTCAAAAAACAGTGACCACCCGTCTCTCAACAAAAATGTCCTCGAAACTCACACAGAAAACTCAGGCACCGAGAATGTGTGCGTGTGTGCGTTACGTGTGTATGCGAGATGTATGTGTGTGTGTGTATGTGTGTGTGTGTGTGTGTGTGTGTGTGTGTGTGCGCGCGTCCGCGCGCGTGTGTGTGTGTGTGTGTGTGTGAGTACAGGAGAGAGGAGAAAGAGGGAAACCGATACTTGGCACAATAAAATGTATAACACTGGAAGAGAACACCACTTTGCGTTTGCAAACGTGCGCGCGCGCGCGCACGCGCGCGTCACTCGGCGACGTCCGGCGTTACAAACGACGGCAATTGGCCGCTCGCGCGCGCGCTCTCTCTCTCTTTCTCTCCTTATTGTCTCGCGATCTTCCGCGACGCGACGCCGCTGAGACGCGAGATGATGAACCTTGCGCGGTGCAGGAAGGCGCGCGAGAAACAGAGTACAACGAATACAGACACACGAGGTTCGCGCGGAGTCCCCGTCCGCGACGCTCTCGCGCCACACGTGATACGGTATTGCAAAACTCAAAAAGGGGCAAACGGAAGTGTCCGACCGCAACGTGGCGAACGCACGCACAGGACGGAACGTGACGACACACGCACCACTCGCCGGTCGAGTCGCAACTGCCGCCACTACCGGCTCGGTGCCCCACCACGGCTCGCCCCTCTCCTCCCGCAGTTCCCCTTCTCCTGCTCATCTTCTCGTTACGCCCGCGCCGCTGGTACCGCGCCACCGCGCGGCCAACAAAGTGCACTCGACGTCGCCGTCTCTCCCCGCGCCCCGCGCCCCCTACCGCCACTCAAACGTACCATTGCCATCTCGCGAGCGCGGTGCGGCGCGGTGCGGTGCGGCACGCCGCTCTGACTTGCTCGTTGGTTGTGTTCGTTCCTCGGCCGCTCTCTCCTTCGGCCTTCGACAGCTCACTCACGCCGGCGGGACTCGTAATCCTTCATTTTCGATTAAAAACCTCGCTCCCCCCGCCTCCCCGTCCCTTGGCGGTCCGACGAGAAGTGTATACAGCGCGTACGCACGTAGCCGCTGTGGGGGACGCGTGTAGTAAAGTGAAAAGCGCGCGAGGAAGCGTCGTGTGTGAAGAGAGAAGTCGAACGCGCGCGCGCGCGCACGCGAGATGGGGTAAGTATTGTTTCTCTTCACCTCTCTCGTTCCTCGCTCACCCTTACGCATCACCGTCGCACTATGCGGTTCAGCAGGGGGAGCTGAGCGTGCCTTAATGTTTCGCTCGACAAACCCCGATGTGTCGACGGAGACACAGCGGGGTCGTAGGAAAAACGGCGAAAACATTGTTGAACTGATTGCACCGCGGTATTAGCGGTGCGCATGTGTGCGCGCGTTTAGCGTTGAGAATCGCGGCCGGTCGAAAACGCAGATTTTATTTGTCTCGCGTGGCGAAACAAAGGACCCTTTCCCCGTTGTGAAATTTGCGTAATGACTGCGCGTGACTATTTGGCCGAACAAATGAGCTAATTGCGCGTGAAACATTTTTCCCAAGCGGGAGCTTTTTATTGGAAGCAACCCCCTGCGGAGGGGGGGGGGATGGTGCACGCCGCAGCGCTCTCGTTGCCTTTCGCCGGATGCGGTGAATTTCGCCGTGCGTTTAACGATATCAGCAATGTAAACAGTGCGAACAATGTAAACAGTGCAAATAGTGCGCGCGGTGTAAGCGATGCAATCGAAGGTACACAGAGCGCGCAGTGTGAACGATATAATCAGATTTTGTAAACAGTGCGTGTGCAACGTAAAACTTGTCAAAAATGGAAAAAAAACACGAAGAACGCGCAAGTGGAATATAGAGGGAACGAAGAGTATACAAATGGTACGGACAAGATAAAACGAGCGAGCAAAGTATAAATGTAACGTCAGCGCGTCGCACAAATGATACATGAGTAACGCGAACGAGGCGCGCATTTCAAACAAAGGCTATTTATTGCTGACAATAAGTTGCTCGAAACGAACTTGAGACATTTTCATCTGCATGAAAATGGATGCTTCCCATACTCGCGGAGCATTTTGAATGTGGAAATCGGATTATGAGCTGAGTCACGCGACCCAGACAGCGGATGTGTCTAAAATATGCATGTCTTAGAAACGTCTAAGAAATATCCTTCTTTCAAGTATTCTTCGGACGTCTCCAGGACGTAGTTTGGATACTTATTCTGTCGAGGATGTGTTTCAAATGAAGGACGACTGTCACCGATAATAAGCAATTATTTCAATGACTTCCCATCTGCGTGTGAAAACATTTGTTTGTATTTTCCACTCGTTTTGAATCTGAAAATCAGGTTATGACGCAAAAATATTTTATGCTTAACGGAAACGTGAGTTGTGCGATCGCTTACGAATAACGGTAATAATTCAACAAGCAAAATTATCCGAAAGTCACGTTAGGAGACAAGACACGTTGAGATTCTTTCTGAAAGCTTCCTTCGCGTGTAACGCAAACGAAAGAATAAATCGTTTTCTTGCGATGAATGAAACAAACTACTTCAAAAGACGTAGAGACGCGAGAGAACTCGATAATTGGGAGATATTCTACGGTTTCCTCTATACTTTTGCCCACTCTAAGCATATTTTAATTTGACAATAAAAGATATGAAATAATGGCACACAAAAAACGGCTGCTGTACGGGGAAGCGGAGAATTCATTCTTTGAGCACACGAAACGTAAAATTAAACGAGAAATACGGGGATAATTGGAAATATGCCCTTTTGCAGAATGAATGTAATTGTAAAATATTGTTTTTAGATATCATTACAATGTCAGTCTGTGTTTGTAACAAATGGAATACTTATGTATATTCTTTAATTATACATGAAAAAAGTTTCCGGTTGTTGCTCTCTTCCTGTCTCAGGAAGTGAACCGTTCCGGAAATCTCGGAAACAAATCTCCGACGGACACGGCATCAAACCGGACATATCCATCGAACTGTGTATGTGTGAGTGTGTAGCAACTGTCAAAATTCAACCTCACTCACTATTTTTTAGTCACGTTTCCAATTCTTGTCTAGACTGCTGTTGTAAAATTTCAAATTTTTACAAGTATAGATATAAATTTTTAAAGTAAGCGTGTTTTGAAGGGAAAACAGCGCCGTACCGGTAGAACTTATCAACAGACGCAGCACCTTCTTTGCTCCGTCGCGTTTCCACAATTACCAATTAAAAGTGGCTATTAATTTTAATGAGCGTCCTAATCCCTCAGAAATGACTTTATATCATTAACAACGTAATCGCATGCGATGTTTAGCATGAGTGGAATTTCCACTTGAAATTTTCAATACAAATCGCGGGACATATTAAAAGGGCAATATAATTAATCGAAGAACAGGACAGTAATGTAATTAATTAAAATTAACCGACCATTTGTAGTACCGACGAGCAATTGGCCGTGCCCATATGTTATCGTGTAATTCAAACAATTCGACCGTATAAATCAAACATTTAATATCGCACGGCGGGCCGATAATGTACGCTTTTTGTGAACCCTGGTATCGCATTAAAAACGGGACGGCCGCTTACTCGCAAATCGACTGCATACCGACGAAATCAAGATATCGACGTCGAGAGAAATAGAGCGATAAGTATAGGTAGATAGAGAGGGACAGAAGATAAATAGATAGATAAACACAGAGAAAGAGAGATAGAGAGGAAGAGAGAGAAAGAAAGAGAGAGAAGGGGGGAAAAGGGAGATTCTTTAGCTCTCGTTAATTTGTAATTCGATACGGACGTGACTCGTTATGCGTCATTTACGTCGATGAAGCACCGCGACTACGCTGATTCGCACCCAACTCACGGGCGCGTGCCATGTTTCCTGTTTAATAGAGGAAGGACCCTTGACAAGTTTTAGGCGAACTTTAATTATATCGGTTTAAGGATCAATTCCACCGACGCGTCGATCAATATTTGCCGCGACCGACTAAATTCTCTGTCGTTGTTTATATTATAGCTGATATTAAATCACCACGCGACTGCAGTTTACTCTCCGACTTCCGGTTTCACTCAAAGAAAGCGAACGCGAACAAAATTTCGGTCCCGTAAGATAAATAATGAACGATTCGTATTAATTTTCTGTTTTTTATAGAGAAATCAGTACCGAAAATCGAATATCGATTAATACCATAAATCAGTGTCACAAAATTGCACACGTGCAATGACAATTTGTTCTTATTCTTCAGGTGCATACCCCTCTAATCTTATTCAACAAATTAACTCGGATAAACGAACGATTCGTATCAATTCTTCTTGTCTTATAAAAAAATGAGAAAATAAATCAGTACCGAAAAGCGAAGACCGTTCAATATCTAATTTTTTCATCAAATTAACGCGGATAAATGAACGATTCGTATTAATTTTCTGTTTTCTTATAGAGAAATGAAAGAGTAAATCAGTATCGAAAATCGAATATCGATTAATACCATCAATCAGTGTCAAAAAATTGTCCAAGTGCAATGACAATTTGTTCTCATTTTTCAGGTACTTACCCCTCTAATCTTATTCAACAAATTAACTCGGATAAACGAACGATTCGTGTCAATTTTTTTGTCTTATAAAAAAATGAGAAAGTAAATCAGTACCGAAGACAGAAAACTGATCAATATTTAATGTATTCATCAAATTAACGCGGATAAATGAACGATTCGTATGAATTTCTTTTTCTTATCGAGAAATGGAAGAGTAAATCAGTACCGAAAATCGAATATTGATTAATACCATAAATCAGTGTCAGAAAATTGTCCAAGTGCAATGACAATTTGTTCTCATTTTTCAGGTACTTACCCCTCTAATCTTATTCAACAAATTAACTTGGATGAACGAACGATTCGTATCAATTTTTTTTGTCTTTTAAAAAAATGAGAAAATAAATCAGTACCGAAAACCGAAGACTGATCAGTACCGTAAATCAATGTCAGAAAATTGTCCAGGTACAATGACAATTTGTTTTCATTTTTCAGGTACTTACCCCTCTAATTTACTCAACAAATTAACTCGGTTAAACGAACGATCCGTATCAATTTTTCTTTTTTTATAAAGAAATGACAGAATAAATCAGTACCGAAAACCGAAGA